CAAGTACAGTATTATAGTTCACTTCTCGAGGAGGTGGTCCTGCCGTGAAGAATGGATTGGATGTATTCGCGTTGTCCTACGACTCCATCACTTACAACTTCAAGTCGATGAGGCGTGCTTGCGTGCCCGCCTGCGGTGCCGAAATTGACACCTGGGACCGCACGCTGGTGGTGCTGCCGCCGCCAACCCTGTGCGCCAGACGAGCAAGAAGAACAACGGCGGCGAGGATCGCCGCAAGGCGCGCACGGGGTTGTCCAGCCCACATGTTGCGTTCCTGCTGGAGACTTGAACCGAGTTAGAAATTTGTCAGGGGAAACAAAATAGACGAGGGGCAAACAGTGTCGCGGGGAAGGATAAGGTATGAGGTTCACAATTTGCACTGCATGCCTCTGTCGGTGGTTCTTATCCCACATAAACGACGACAGACAGACGCAAGGGTTCTTCTTTCTTGCAGCCGACATGTTCCCCGCTGGGGGGGGGGCATAGCTAGCGGCATAAGGCCGGAGAGCAAGCAGGGGCGAGGGTGCCAGCAACATGAGCAATCACACCGTCCCCCAAAGGCGGATTGTGATTATGTGGTTTCGTTAACAAGAATACTGAGGGTTGTGCATGGGTTGCGACCTATTTATTTTAAGCAAGCGGCGCGTCAGTCAGCGTGTGCTGTGGCTCTGTACCTCATAAATAAGCCATGTCACCTGCGTGCTGCTGCGGAGCGCGTAACAAGTCCGGGTTTCGAGCAACATAGTGCAGACCCGAGCCCCTTATGCGTGGCACCACTTTCACAAGAAGAGGGCGCCGCTGAAAAAAAAACGCTTGCCAACCCTCGCACAGCGAAACCTGGCGAGTATCATCCGGCCACACACTTCTTTCTGCTCCTCCACCTTTGTTCCCTCTGACCGACAACCCACATTGAAGTCTCCCCCCCTCCCCCTTTCGCCTGATTCCTTCTTCCCCAAATATCATGGTCTTGGGTGTTACATTGTTGACAGCGAAACCTGTGACACCTGAGACCCTCCGCCGTGCGCAATCTCCCACACTACTGGCAGTTTTGCTAAACTCCCCATGGGACACCTATGGGGCACCCACGGGCCGCCCATGGGCACCTCTAGGGCCGCCCATGGACAGCCCATGGGCTGCCCATGAGCTGCACGTGGGTGGGCCAATGGCAGGCCCATGGGAGGCCCATGAAGTGCCCACCGCGGGCACTTCAACCTAGCATAGAACTTAGTCGCGGCACATCAACCTATGTAGAACTAGCCCAACCCAGTGCCAACCTGGCACGTATCGTGTGGGCTTGGGGTTAGGGTTAGGGTTATTTATTTATTTATTTATTTATTTATTTATTTATTTGCCTTCCGACATTGGCAGATGTACCTCAGAAAACTTTCACTTAATGTCTCATACTCTACATGAATATTAAACCAATACGAAGTACAACAACATATGTAGGACTTATTTCTACTGTCACTTACATCGTAAAAATATCTCCTCTTCAACTTGAAATAAATATATATATAATGAAGATTACACTTAAAAATATTTCTAAAATGATTCCTTTTTTTTTTTTTACTAAAATATCCTTTATAATCCTTTCCTAGAAACTTTAAGGGAACTTCATAAAAATACTTTATTAAGTTAATTAAATCGTATAGAGCAACTTAATCTAGCAAGATTAGAATTATCGCCTTTAGATATTAAAGTAAATCCCGGCCTTCTTCAATCGAGGTCTTACGAAGAAGTTTTAGTATTGCTTACTCTCAAACAAGACGCCAACTTCAAACGAAAATGCGTTCTACGATGCGTCTACACTCCGACCCCATATCATCGGGTTATTGCTAGCGTTAGGGTTATTGGCCGCGATGATGCCCGTTCCAAAGCAGAAATCTGTTGTTAGGAGTGCACTGCTTCCTCTTCAAGGGCACTCATTGGCCGCCCATGGGCTGCCCATGGGCTACCCACCAGCTCATCTACCCATGGGCTTGCCCGTGGGCATTCCCCATGGGCAGGCTTCTCGCGGGCTACCGATGGGCTTGCCCGCGGGCATTCGCCATGGGCAGCACATGGGAGTTGTGCCCATATGGGTGTCCCGTGGGCGGGCGGTTCACCAAAACTGCTGTACATACAAGTGTGGGAGACCCGTTTCGTCCGGTGATGGTGGGAGGGCACACAGGTACTACAGTACAGTACGTGGGTCTCTTGAGGGTACTACGCAAAACGGCAACAACGTCGAACCCGCAGTAGGTACTGGAAAGCCTGACTGGCGGGTGGGGACAACAGGTAGCCGCGGACATCCGTATCACACACGACGTGTCAACATCGTAGTCTAGGCAAACACACGATCTTCGTTTTCGGTAAAAAAAAACGCCACGAAAAAAACTTGCCCATCTCAGTTTCCGCGCACTCATTTGGCGGTGGAGGCCACACCGCGTGTATCGGGGAACCGCCCTTCGACACTACCTCGACTCCCGAACAACGTTGATCTCCAAACCGGGAAGCCTCGCTCTGATGCGTTGGGCATCATCACACACTGCTGCTTCCCACGGCGCTCGGCCGACCCGGAAAAACAGAGAGCCAGCCACCAAACAAGCAAAACAGCCAGCCTCATTCATCACCTCGAACTTTGGGTGCAACGCGGCCAGGGAAACACAAAGCGGCTTCGGGTCGCTCTTCGCCGACGTGGGCTGTCTCACCCACTCTCTTTCCTGTTTGCTCTGTTTAGGGCCAGAGAGAGCCCTGACAGTGCGTGTGTGTCGCTTTGTCCCACCGGCGGGGATTCCATGCTCCCGTGTACAGCAGTAGACACTAGTACAATACGCCCACATCAAAAGTTGAGGCTCTTCCGAAAACACAGGACTTTTTGAGTGCTTTGCATCTTCGTTCGCCGTGCTTTGCCTTCACAACGTTAAGATGGCGACCGCGATGCCCCTTACCTCCTGTTTTCTACCGGTACCCGCTGCAGAAGTAGTGGTCCGTGTAACGGGTCCGAAACCCTCCGTCCTTCGGCGCGTGTGCCTCCAGTCCGCCAGTGCAGGAAAATGACAAGCCGGGGCGGGCGGCCGCTCCGACTTCTGAATGGAAGCGGGAGGAAAAGACAGAAGGTCTGTTGTTCGCGAGATGATGTACACTGAAGTATGTTCTAAAGATCCGCCGATTCATTTCAATGTGCGTCTTGCATTTTACAAGTAAATACAGTACGTTGAGGAAGGTTTCGTTTCGTGTTCGTTTCTCGGTGCGCCCTTCTCCGTCTGCTCCGTACGCCTGATCTACAAGGAAGAAGGGGGTTCTCCCACAAGAACTGATTCGTGGCGCGTGTGGATCAAAGACGACAGCATGCAGTCAGCGTCTGTCGAGACGGTCCCAAGTCCGTCAATAGTTCGGTGCATATCCGATACCGCTGCAAGCAGCAGCACGAATCGTCAGAGGTGTGCGAATGATGACAATCATCACCCCCCCCAGGTTCGTTCATTCTGCGCGGAGAGACGCCTCACGGCATATCCATCCACCATCTACATTTATTATTCCGAGCTCTCCTTCATTCCTATAGATACCCCCCCTTCTGTGCCTCCTCCCCCGGTCGGTGTTTGCCATCGAAGTTGGGTTTTCGTCGCCTGGCAACGACGTTGAGTTGTAAAACAAGGTCATTCACTTCGTGAGCTCGGTAACCAGAATATTTACCGCATTATTTTGTTTCCTCTGCGTTTTTTTTTTTTGCGGTAACCACACGATGATGATGGTGGTCGACCGAGCAGACAATGATGTTTTTTGTTGTGCGGGGCCGAGAACCCTCGCTCCGCGCAAGGGGAATGATCGCACCACGTTGTGTGTTAAATTAATTGGTTATGCACCCTCGAGGTAGTAACACAGCAGTGATAATAAGCTGTCTTTGGAAGTGTAAGCACCAGAATATACATCCAGTCATACGCAGCTGTCATCGTACGCAAGGAAGCAAGCACAAGATGCCGAACACC